AGAGCCTCAAGCTGTCCCCCTGGGCAGAGTGCCATGGCTTCACCACTCACAGCAACCTCCAACTCCTGGGCTCAAGCGAGTCTCCTGCCTCAGCTCCCAAGTAGCTGGGACCACAGGCGCCCGCCACAACGCCCAGCTATTTTTTGTTGCAGTTGTCATTGTTGTTTTTATTGGTGGGTCCGGGCTAGATTCAAACCCACCACCTTAGGTATATGTGGCTGGCGCCTTAGCCACTTGAGCCACAGGCGCTGAGCCAGCCTTAAAATTCTTAATAGCATATGGCTAGGTGCAGTGGCTCATGCCTGTAATCCTAGCACTCTGGGAGGCCAAAGCAGGTGGATTGCTTGAGCTTAGGAGTTTAAGACCAGCCCGAGCAAGAGTGAGAGCACATCTCACCTAAATTGAAAAAATAGCTGGGTTGCTGTGAGCTATGATGATGCCACAGCATTCAACCCAGGGGGCAGAGTGAAACTCTATCTACAAAAAAATTCTTATAGCATAAGAACCCTAGTTTGGACATTATTACAGTATTTATTAACATATTCAACCATGATTTTACCAACTAATCTTGGGTGTATTTTAGGTAGCAGAGGATAGGATTTTGTAGAAATGGTACCCAGGTAAGTGTTACTTTGGAAAAAAGGAGAAATACAGAGCCTGGCAAAATGCCTAGGCAAGGAAAAAACAATCTACTAATTCACCATTCTCTCAAGTGCCAACCTTGATGTGGACCCTGGGATGCCTGAAAAATACAGTCAAGCTTTTTTGCTCTCCATCTAACATGTGGCTGAAAGATTTGAAGCCATAGTGATTTTAAAAGGATGAGGGAGGGACAGGAGAATTCTGTACATTTGCTCCTTGACTTATGATGGGATGATAGGATGATAAATTTATCATAAATTGAAAATAGCAAGGTAAAAAGGTATTTAATATGTGTAAGCTACTAAACATCATAGTCTAGCCTAGCCTGCCTCGTGCTCAGAATATTTACGTTGGCCTGCAGTCGAGCCACGTTGTCTGGTCGCACATTCCCTGGAGCAGAGTTGTGGATTCTCAGGACTTCGTGCCTTGCTGGGAGCTGTGGCCCTGCTGCTGCTGCCCAGCATCTTGAGAGAGTGTCATACCGTTGTGTCACTAGCTTGGGGAAAAGATCAAAATTCAAAATTGGACTTTTGGTTTCTCCTGAATATGTATCATTTTTGTGCCATTGTCAAGTCAAAAACCCTAAGTTGGACCTTTTAAGATGGGGACTGCCTGTAATTTTTAGTACTATATTATTAGTGTATCTACATTTCAGTGATTTACTTAAAATAGGGATGGTAATCTTGATGTTGGCAAGTTTCTTCTTACTGAACAAAATTGTTTCTAAGAAAAGAAACAGGTTGTTAACATACATAAGATTATTTACCTATTTCTCAAATATTCCTAGGTATTATGGGCGAAAGATGCTTTTCCTCATGATGTGTCATCCTAACTTTGAAAAAATGCTTGAAAAATATGTCCCATCTAAAGATTTGCCATATATTAAGGAATCTGTTAAAAATTTACGGCAAAAGGTATGTGGAAAAAGCTGAAAAAATAACTTTAATTGTTATGAGCTATGACACCACAGTACTCTAGCCAGGGCTACAGAGGGAGACTCTGTCTCAAAAACAAACAAACAAACAAAAATAAAACAGAAAACAACTTCTGAAAAGTTTTATTTACCCATCAAGGCTGAGAATAGAAACAATCTACAATACATCTACGTCTACAATAGTTTTTTTGATGACTAACGTACTAAGTAGAAGGCACAGTGTCAGGCTTTCAGAGTAAATGTTTGCTGAACAAAAGCTTGATGTGTGTTAAATTATACTTTAGCTTATTGGAGTTACAACACTGGGTTTGAATTAAAACTGTGACAGTTAGCAACTATGTAATGTTAAGTATGCCACTCATTTCTTTAACTAGAATTTTAATTTTTATAAAACGGGTCAGGAGTGTTTTCCATGCTTAATCCCAGCTTTTGTACCTTGTACATCCCACTGTTAGAGCTGCCCCCCACTGCAGAGCATTTATAGAGAGTTCCTTGAAGTTAAGCACCATGTCTTGTTTGTTCTGATAGGTAGCTGGGATTTAGTAATGTCTGTGCAATGAGTACTGAGAGAATACTAAGAAAAATATAATGTGAAGGGTATATGTTATTTTTAAAGAATATTTTTGACTTAATATAGAATTTTTCTGTTATAATTTATGTCATTTCTCTTTGATGGCTTTGGACTCAGGACTCCTTTATGAAGGGATAACATTGCAAAGATGTGTGATAATAGACATTTTAGAGCATTTTTCCTGCCTGTTTATTTTAATGATTTTTGTTTAATTTATATAGAACTTCTTAAAATAACTACAAAAATGTATCTGACTAAAATAAGGCAGATAATATTTCTGAGTCATAGGGTTTAAATAGTTGTTTCCAAAACGTTTGTTCTGAAACTCCTGTTGCATAGAAATTCATTGTTTATGGGATGTGTTAGTATTTTCTATATAGATTTTATGCTTTAAGAAGAGGAGTTAAAGCTCAGTGCCCGTAGCACAGTGGTTACGGCACCAGCCACATACACCACGGGTGGTGGATTAGAACCTGGCCCAGGCCAGCTAAACAACAATAACAACTGCAACAAAAAATAGCCGGGCATTGTGGCGGGCACCTATAGTCCCAGCTACTTGGGAGACTGAGGCAGTGTATGTGTCCGGTGCCATAACCACTGTACTATGGGCCCCAAGCCAGTACAGCAGATTATTAAAGTGCTAATCTTTTAAAAAATCAATAATGGCTGCTTTGAAAATTACATTGTGTAGGTTATTTCACTACTATTTGTCAGACTTTTATTGCCTTTGCATTTACTAACAGGGTTTGGGAGAGATTCCACTAGATACTCCTTCAGCAAAAGGAAGACGATCTTATACTGGCAATATTGGAAATACAAGGTCATCATCTATTTCTAGGGATGCTTTCAATTCAGCTGAAAGGTAAGATCATTTGCATTAGAGAAATTACTCTCTAGTGATAATTGGTAGTCTTTTTTTTTTTTT